TGTGTGTGTGTGTGTGTGTGTGTGTGTGTGTGTGTGTGTGCGCGAGCGTGCGCGGGTGTGTGTGTGTGTGTGTGTGTGTGTGTGTGTGTACTTGAAGGTGGAGAGGCGGCAGCTTGAGGTTTCTTTTAAACTATTATGTTTGTATTTGCAAGAAACTTTCTTACTCAACAACTGGAGTGCCATAAACCGTTTGTTTCTCTCTCTCTCTCTCTCTCTTTAAAATGTCAGAGGAGGGCAAATAGGTAGGGTGCCACGTCTTGGAGTTTGTTTTACTTATCCCCTCTGAAATCCCGCTGTTTTATAGAGAGCACAAAAATTAGTAGGACTAAGAGGAGTTATTTACTTTCCAAAAATGATGTTAAAATTTTTAAAAGTATGTATTGCATTTGTGAAATTTAGATGCAATATTTTAGCATACTATTGCCCAATGTTTCTTGTCATAATCAACTCATCTGTGTCAAAATTAGTCACTAAATTAAGTAAAAACCATGATGAAGCTCACTAGATCATTTCACTCTGAACACATTAATTATGTTCATGCTTACATGCCTGTCTGTAATGGTTTTTTCACTGGTTTAAACGGTCCCCAAGAGTGTGGCAAGCATTTGTGTAGATGTATTTAAAGGTATACAACATTGAACTATAGAGTGCATACTGAAAAAATATGCTTTAAAAGATTTGCGAGCCATTGATCACTAGCCCTAATAAGGGCTACGCTTTCAGAAATGTGCTCACCAATCCATTAACATTTCCCAACTAGAATTAACTAGAGCACATTTCAAAAATATTAGCAGATCTGTTCTTAGCCAGGTAGTGCATTGGATTTCAAGCACAGACACCACAAATGGATTCCAAATGTTTTCTTTTTAAATTTAAATTTCCTAAGCCCTGCCCACCCCTCCATTCTTCCAGCAACCCACTACCTAATCTAAATCCAAAAATCAGTTGGTGATTGATTGCACTTTACCTAAGGGGGGGTGGGGGGTGGATCCTCTTATGCATGCAAAGGGAAGCACTCAAGCTTCCATCTGTTTGAAATGAAACATTCTCTCACAGCAACCTGGCAGAATTTGGAAGGCTTAAAGGATATATGTGGGCATGTCTGTGTTCATTTACGTGTGGTGTGGTTTGTGTGCAAGAGAAATCAGCACATGGCTTGATTATAAATTGTGTCCTTTAGCCTCTCAGAAACATTACGGAGCATATTTAACAGGCAATCATAAGCAGAGGATATAAGCACGACTTCGGCATTCAACAGTATGTTTCTTATGGTCTTAAAAGAGATGCATGCACTTGCTTCTAAAACCAAAGCCTATTTAGAAATGAAAGATGGATTCTGCCATCAAAGCTTGTTAACTTATCCTATCCCACCCCAGTACATGCTTTTCCAGTGATAGACACCAATTTACAGGAATTCATTGCACAATTTAGTCCTGGAAATCAAATCAGAGGTCAAACATTTTTTATTATAGACAGCAAGTACAGAGATATTCAAACTCTATGGGAAATATAAAACCTAGTGTAAAACAACTCACAGTTTTTATGTTGAAGAGTATTCTCACCTGAAAGCATTTCAACTTGTATTGTTTTACAGGAGAAATTAAGACACTGCTATATTTCTGAATGGAGAAATGGAAGGGAGAGTGGAGAATGGATGGTCCAGGTTTCCATTGCTTCCAATGAGGTGTCATATCCCAGTGAGGTCATTTCCTGACTTCAAAGCATTCATCTGAACTGCCTCAGTCAGCCCTAGTGGTTATAACCTGATGTTTCTTGCAAGAGACATTGATCTCCACTTGTTCTACTTTTCAGCTGCACAAGCTCGCGATGAAGAAAAGTCCGGGTCTCTCTGACTGTCTTTGGGCCTGGACCCTCCTTCTGAGCACATTGACTGGAAGAAGGTGGGGGCACTTTATTTTAAATCTGCATGAGAATTTCTGTAACTTTTCATTCTTTCCATCAGGGGGAAGACAATTGCCCTTGTATGAATTCATGACTAAGGGAATTCAGAAAACTTAACTGCCATAAAATTTCAGCTAAGAATAAATGAGAGTAATATTAAAAAAAAAACCATTTTATTTGCATGGCATGCTATTTAGAATACACTTTAAACAAGCCTTTTATAAGAATATGTTAAATCAACATTTAAGTTTTAAATTGCAGTTTTCACTCTTCTGTTGCAATGGAACAAATCATGCAATTTCCCACTTTATAGAAAAAGTTAATCCAATTAACGCCTATCTACATGAAAGTCTAATTTCCAACAAGGACATTGATTGACAGTTATAATGATCATAGGGTAAGTTGTCACTACGCAAAAAAATAAATTTGAAATAATGTTTGCCTTTTGAAAGTCACGGTTTTATAAATGCAGTTTTGGCACCATTATTTATATAACAAATAATGGTAAAATGTGAGACAAAATTTTAAGAAAAGCAGGTAAAATGAAACTTCTCTATTGAATTGTAATTATTATGGAGACAAGTTATAAGAAACATCTACTAATACACCTAACCAT